CATGAGAATTAACTTAAGGAAGCAGTTGAAATAATGTGGATAAAGTCGTGATAATATGAGCATAAAGTCATATCAATAGCAAAATCATAAAATTACCAGAATAAATTTCGAATATTAGAAGAATAAACTCATATTAGAATAAAGTTGTAATATGAAAATACAGTCAGAATATTAAGAAAATAATCAAAATAATTCAAAAAAAGAGTAATGAGTAAAAAATTATATTTTGAAAATATTACAGAATGAAGTTAGAATATTATGACAGTAAGTTGTAATATTCCGACTTTATTCTTTATTTTGGCTCTGACACTCCGTTGTGCAAAACTGTAAGAAATTAAAGGGAAGAATCATTTTTATATGTGTTTTATTTGTATTTTGTACAGTTTGGGTCTTTTTCTGGGGATGATGTCACAACAGAAATGATCAACAGTGAGAACAGAAGAAAGAACATCCAGTAAAAAAAGGACAAAGAGCAGAAATGTTGGTGATATTTTCCCTTCTGCAGACCAACGGAGACACCTGCTCAGGTGAGGATGTCGTGAGCCTGCTGCTCCACCAGAACCGTCATGTTCTTAACGTCGCCGCACCACGAGTCCAAACGCTCCTTCATGCCTTTAATCTGAAGCAGAAACCGGCGGTTTATTGGTCACTTTACGTTTAAATCAGGAGGAAGTTTGAGGTTCTGAGATCGAGCTCCAACCTGCTGCAGGTCCAGAACTCTGGGCTGCACCCAGGTCATCTGGACCTTCTGGTCCACCTCGTCGATGTTCCCTTTGATCAGGCCCACAGACAGCGCCTTCATCACCAGCAGCTCCACCTGCAGGAGGAACGCAAACGTCAGCAGCCCAGCAGGCGGGAGCTAAGTTGCAGGAAACAAGCTAACCTCGTTGACGGGGATCTTTGCGCTCTGAGCGATTTCTGTGAAGGTGAGCTGTCGGTGATTCGCAGGACGAGTGAACGTCATCTGGAAAAACACAAACACCCATTATGACAAAATATCCCAGCAAAACCGTTCACATGCACACAACAGAACCGAGACGGGGACAGAAGTTCCCAGTTAGCCAGTGAAATATTCAAGATGGCTGCCATGGTCAAGGAGTCTTTCCAGTTGACAACTGGTGTGAAACTCGCAAAAAGATGTTTTCAGTCTTAGAATCTGATTTTTCTACATGTTATGACTTTAAGGTTTTATGAATAAAATGACCAAAGTCAAAAACAAATGATGTGACAGAGTTCACCCAGGTCATGAAACGGGTCACAGTTTAGAGCAGCCACTGGTTTAAAAAGCTCAAAAACGGCGGCCATCTTGAAAAATGGCCATCATGGTGAAATTGAAGTGAATTGCGTATGATCTTAGGGGTTAGCATGTTAATTTATAAACTTTATAGGCACACTTTAAAGACTTTTACAGTAATATTCTGAACTAACAGCTCTGATCAAACAGGAAGTAAAAAAACAACAACAACCCACCTCCATCACGCAGAGCAGCTGGATCTTCTGCATCAGTTTAGGTTCATGAGCTGCGAGGTCGGGCTGTGGGCAATGAGTGGAAAATATATTGACGCAAAACTGATCAACAATCAATGAAGTCGGATCAATTTAATTGGCTGCTTTTCAGGTTCAAAAGACATAAATTACACTTTATATCCTCTTGGAAATGAAGAGTTGAGTCACTAAAGGAGTTTTTTGGTCTATATGTCCAGAATGTGCTTTGATTTACATTTTTTAATTAAGGGAAACATACTTTGATGCAAATATGGAGGTTTTAGTGTGGAAATTGTTAACATAAAGTAGTAGCTTTTAAATAAAGAGCGTTCGGCTGGTTCTCCACCTGCTGCCCCCATGCAGACTTGAAGCCCTGGAACTTCTCCACGTTCCCGGAGTTGAAGGCGTATAATGTGTCAATGAGCCACTGCTTGTCTGTGTTCCTCAGGGACTCCAGCACCGGATGCATCAGCTGCAGAGCAAACAGCAGGACAGTCAGCGTCCCGCCTGCGGAGCCGGACAATAGCATCGGTTTTCAGAGGAGAACCCACCAGCTCTCCGAAGTTGTAAACTCCCTCGCCCAGGAGTCCGGCCAGGCCCAGGGTGAACGCTCTCTCCTGCTTCTCTGTTTCTGTGGACGGGAAGTGAGTCAGAGACGGTTTTCTCAGCTTCAGCTGCTGTTGCCACGGTTACCGTTTCTCACCTGGAAGGTCTTTGATGTCCACGCAGCCCAGGTAGCGCAGCGCGTCCTTGTAGTAGGCGGCGTGGTTCCCGATGATGCGGTAATACTTGCTGGAGAGGTCGTAGAACCGTCCGTGGACCGACGTGACGCCGGGTAAGTTATTCAGCATTTCCTCCACCTCCTCTGTGATTTTCTGGAGGCGGAGAACAAAGAGATGGAAGGATCAGCAACACAAACCATCTTCCTCATCCCTTCTCAATTGGTTTTTACGTTGTTGCTTTCATTTTTTTCCTTTTTTAATTCTATATTTTCCTTTCATTTTTTTTCCTATTAGATTTTTACCTTTTTACTTTATCCTTTTATTCATTTTTCCATTTCTTCTCTTCATTCTCTCATTTTTTCCATTTTTATTTGTCTTAGTTTTGTTATTTTTTTCCCTTTCATTTGTTTTTATACTTTTTTTTCTTTTATTTCTTTCTATTATTATTTTCCTCACTCATTTTTCTCATTTTCTTTTATTTATTTTTTGCAATTTTTTTATTATCCATTTATACATTTTTTTCTTTCGTTATATTATGTTTTTTTGTTGGTAAAAAAACAAAACAAAACAAAAAACCCACAACAGACTCATTTTATGGATTTTCAGTTTTTAACTTTTTCATCTTAATTTAATTTACCCCACGTTTTAACCTGATCTACATGAACCAATCAGCTGAGTTTTCAGAATCGTGCCTCAGAGCGTTTTAAATCTGCGTCACCTTGGTGGCAGGAAGGTCGCTGATCTCCAGCTTCAGGCTGCCGATGGACGTCTTGCAGAGAATCACGGCTTCTTCGCTGCTTTTCACCTGGATTGTACGAACACACAGCCGGAGCGATCAATAACACTGATCAGTAAAATTAACAGAAAAATAATCTGAGGTTTAACTGACCTTCTCTTTGGTCTTCTCCAGAAAAGTGATGGCATCTTTAGGATCTGAAAACCAAAAGAAATCATCTCAGTGAACGCAAAAAGAAGTGAGAATAAAACATCTGAAGAAAACCGTCCTCTGGTTCTCACCTGGCATCTGCCTGGCGACGTAAAGGATGATTTCTACCAGAGACAGAGGGTTGATTCTGTGTTCGAAGTCACTGATGAAGTTTTCATACAGCTACAACGAAAATAGTTTAGATTAAAACCTCAGTTTCTGGTTCCTGCAGTAGTTTGAGTAACAGACCCTGTACGCCTCAGTGAGTCTGGATTTACCTGTATGAGGCCGTCTCCCGTTTTGAAGAAAGGATCTTTGACAAAGTCTGTTAACTTCAATGTCAACTGATGCCACAATCTGCAAAAAATAACAACAAAATCACCAATAATACCCAGAGAAATGCACAAACCTGCTGCAGATCAGCAGTAGAGACTGTAAATATGATTGTAACTATTTATTGCTTTTAAATACCAAACCTCAACTTCTCTTTATTAGTTTCTAATTACAATCATATGAAATTGTTTACATTTAGGGTTTGCATAGAAATTTGGTTGCAATCATCTCTATATCAAGAATTATATATATAAATAGGAGAAATAAAAAAAATCATTGGTATTTTAAAAATGTAACTATGCAAATGAAAAGATAAAGCATAAAATATATTAAAAAAGAACAAAATTGACAGCAAAAAATCTGTATGCTTAAAAATCATTTTATAAAATATTGCAATAATGACAATATTGCAATATTGCATAAGAGGATCTATGACTAGAATCATTGGTATATAATGGTATATTAAAAAACATAAAAATATGGAAAAATATATTTTATAAATCATTGGTATTTTTCAAAAAGTAAGGAAACAAAAATTAAAGTGTGAAATAAAATAAAAAGAAAATTTCGACAGCTTAATAAATAATCAGTCTGATTTAAACCAGAAATAAACTCATTGTTTAATACTGCAACATCTTAATGACCTAAAACATTAAGATGTCCTTTCAAATGACCAAACTGGGTTTGAATGGATAAAATGCTGCATCTCTGCAGGTCAATAAATAGTGGCTGCTATGGATCACCACACATCGTAATAATACATTTTGGACAATAAATTATTTAACACCTTAATGTGATAAAACATAACCTGCATGACCTCCAGGATCAATAACTTTGAATTTCTAAAGAATTTAGAGATTTTCAATGTAGACATTTCAAATAAATGACCTAAAACATTAATATGAACTATAAAGTCCCTAAACAAAATTGTCCGTCAGCAAGTAGTAAATATTTTACATACTGAACTTAAATAAAAACCTCCTCATTATTATATAGTGTGATTAAATGTTTACATAAACCATTACGATTAGCTTTTAATATTGTTTTTAGTTAGCTATCGTTAGCTCAATGACTCAGCGTGCCATTTAGAATCAATGGAGAAGCTAACGGAAGCTAAGCTAACAGCTAACTTTTTACCTTTTGTTGTAGAAATCCTCCAAAGCGTGCCACTCCGCCGCCATTTCTGGCGTGGAGCTGCTGCTCTGTTGTTGTTTGAGGTACCCGCTGACATCTTTCATGGTAGAAACAAAATAAAGATTTTTTTCAGGAAGAAAGCTGGTGAGTGTTGTTAAACTATCCGCTAACGTTATGTAGCTTTCTGTGCTCACAGTATGCGTCTGCGCAGCTGCACGTCGCAAAGGTGTATGGGAAGTAACATTTAGGGTCATATCAAGCATCCGTTCATCAAAAATAATTGTATAACCTAGCTGATGAAATGTCATTACGAGCTACAGAAATATGATAAGTAACCACGTGTTTGATTTATGTGTGTTGAACCGCGAATAAATCTAAACCTGACACAAAACACCACTGACGTATCCAAACTAACTTAATTGGGTCTTGTTGAACCTGCTAATTCCAAGTTACCATGAATGTAGCATTTAAAAAAAGGACTACGGAAACATTTCAGCAGAAAAACTGACAACTTCCTTCACGTTGGCGTGATTTTAAAGGTTGCTAGGTGGTGTCGGTCTTCGTAAACCAACAGTACCGGATCCGAACCGAGCCTGCGGGATGGCTGGCTTGTCTTTAACTGTCAGACTGTGTTGTTTGGAGCGCAGGTTGAGTTCAGCAGCAGCCAGGACGATCCGTGCAAAAGGTTAGTGGACTGACAGATGAACTCTTCCACCAGAACAGCAATAATAATAATAATAATAATAATAATAAATAATAATAATAATAAATAATAATAATAATAATGCATGACACTGTGCTGGTTTTCTTTGCAGGTTTCGGTCCCTGCAGTTTGAGTCCAGTTGAAAGTTCAGGATCTTTGTTCAGGTACTTCTCTTGCTGTTTTTATAAATAAACCAGGATTTGAGTAAATACTGAAAAATTGTACTCAAGTAATAGTATAACGTAAAAAGATACTGAGAAAATCACCAATCATTTGATATTTAAAAATCCCATCATCAGACTCACCGATAAAAAAAGATATTTGGGAATCTTGGTATTTTAAAGACTAAAATAACAATTCATTTTACAAAATGACATCAGACAAAAGAAACATTTTCCATCATTTTATAAATATAAAACTTATGAAAATTTTCCAAAAATTTCAGGTGTGTGTCAATATTTGGTGAATTTTTGATTCAGACAAGATTGTTCTTCATTCAGTGAAGAAAGTCCAGAAATTTAACTCAAGTAAGAGTAAAGCAATAAAGTTAAGTATAATTTACAGCATGCCGTAGTTAAAAAAGTCTCCTAAAAGTACATTTTTTTCCAAAAATGACTCCGGTAAACAAAGTTACTACCAACACTGACATTAAGATAATCAGTATTATACCTGAGCCACATGTTTCCTCTTTTTCCTGGGCTGGAAAACAGCTTAAATCAGTTACAAAAACTTCTTTTCAGCAGAAAGTATTAATAAATTGACTTTAAATATGATATTCAAATGTAATAAGATTGAAATAAATCTGCTTGGTCTTTGTTTCTGTTTTGTTTTGTGAAGTTTTTCTGATAAAAATGTTCGGTTCTTCTCAGACAGGAGTCGTTTCTCCAGAGGATAATAATCCGAGGGCTGTTTGGTGGTGAATCCGTTCAGACTCTGCAGGATGTCGCCGAAAGCATCCGAGAGCGGCGCTGCAAAAGTGTGGTGGTGATGGCTGGAGCCGGGATCAGCACGCCGAGCGGCATCCCAGACTTCAGGTGCAAATACTCGCCTCTGATTGGTAGACAGGAGCGAACCCGGAAATAAAATCCCGATTTTAATCTCAACTTTTTCACCAGCTGTTGAGTGTGGGAAGTAAATGACAAAGAATTATCAGCTAAAAATTCTAAATATTCACACAGAGACACTTTTTAAATTTTCAGATCTTCAGTAATGACTGGAAAATCTTACTTTCAAATCTCCAATTATAAACCAGCCTCACTTTGATTTATTTGTACTTAAAGGAGCATTCACACCAGCCCTGTTTGCTCTGCTTTCATCCAACTCCAGTCCGTTTGTCTAGAACGTTCGTAATCGGACCAAAACAGTGACCTCTGGTCTGCTTATAAGCCTCCATCTGGGTTCGAATGAAGTGAACTCTGGTCCGGTTTGAATGCATATGTGAACGCCAAGCTGACCAGATACTGCTTCAACAGCAGGAAGTGGATTACAACGTTGAATTACAAATCTGACGCCACTCCATTTTTGTTTACATTTGGTGGAGAAAGTTGCACTCAGAGTCTCCAGAGAGACTCAGGCCTGGAAGGGAACAGGTTTTCTAATTAGTTTGGTTCATTTGACTCAATCCAGCTTGAAAATGAACTGCAGCTGAAAATGTAGCAAATGTTGCAAATTTGGTTCCCAATAAATCCGAATGTACCGGACTATCAGATGTGAAAACAGCCTAAAAGAAGCTTAAATTGGCAAAGATTTGACTGTAAATGACTAAAAGCAACCAGCGACCTCATTAGGTATATGCATGTAAAATAATGGCTAAATGGATGGATGCCTGAAAGAACTGTTAGTGAGAAACCAGAACATTTTAAATGTCACATTTAAATTAAGGCTATTTACACATATAATTAATAAAAGTGGCCCATTTTTGTTCATTTCTGGACCTGCAGGTCTCCAGGCAGTGGCCTGTATGACAACCTGCAGCAGTACGACCTGTCGTACGCCGAGGCCATCTTCGAGATCGATTCTTCCATCGAAACCCAAATCCCTTCTTCGCCCTGGCCAAAGAGCTGTACCCGGGTAACGACCAGCCCAACCTGACCCACTACTTTGTCCGTCTGCTTCACCAGAAGGGCCAGCTGCTGCGGATGTACACGCAGAACATCGACGGGCTGGAGAGACGTAGGTACTCCCAAACCTCCCTGCAGTCCAGATGGGCTGTTGTGCTTTAACGTTTGCTCTGCTGTTTGTGGCTCAAGTTGCAGGAGTTCCTCCGGAGATGCTGGTGGAGGCCCACGGCACGTTTGCAACGGCCACCTGCACCTCCTGCCTGCGGAAATATGACGGCGAGGAGCTCAGAGTGAGTCACAAAGTCTTCACTTCACTTTATGAATGTAATGGATTTGACTTAAATGGGACTGAAAATAGACCACATTTGGCTAGTTGGGATGAAATTAGCAACATGCTAAAATCTTGCTATTAAGGACTTCTCTGGGAACTTTGTAGCTGGCAGCCATCTTGGTAGGTATGAACCAACGTGCCATGTTTTCAGCCAGAGGTGATGAGCGGGGCCGTCCCTCGCTGTCCCACCTGTAAGGGCGTGGTGAAGCCTGACATCGTGTTTTTTGGGGAGGAACTTCCTCTGAGTTTCTTCAAGTACCTGACAGATTTCCCGCTGGCTGACCTGCTGATCGTCATGGGAACGTCGCTGGAGGTGAGCGTCACAGCAACCAAACATGATGACACTTTGTTTTCTTCGCTCCACATCTTTTAAGAGACATTTGTAAAATGAATTCGACAGACATGATTATTTAGTAAAGCAGCTCCTGAAAGCAGCACAGCACACAGACAACGTTTCATAATATCCATTTCAAACTGTGATTATGCTTAGCTTGCATATATAACATAAGCTGTATATATGGACGATACATTGTCCCAGAAGATTTTGTGATAAACAATATTATTGTTGTTTTGAAAGCATTTTCAAGTAATGGTGTAATAATGCAATGACACTCTCTTATTTAAGTCCTAATGAGAGACTTAAATGTCTTCCATTTAAAATAAGAGACTATTTTAAATGGAAGACATTTAAAATATCCAACATAAATAAGCAAAACAACAGAAACAACACATAAAATAAATGAGGAAGTCGTTTGAATTGTCTTTCAAAAAACGAAGTGCTAATTGAGGCCAAACTGAAAACATTAGTCACCCAGTTTTAATCAGCCTGGTTTACTTTATCATGTGATTGATTTATTGATTATTACTTATTGCGGCAGACCAACATATGTAAATATACAATCCTAATCTGCTGTACATTGTTTCAGCATCGGCAGGGCTTTTGGGCGGCCGGTTTCGCGCTGAAAAGCCTCGTTTTCCGCAGGTGGAACCGTTTGCCAGCCTGGCGGGAGCCGTGCGCAGCTCGGTGCCCCGCCTCCTCATCAACCGGGACCTGGTGGGGCCTTTCGCCTGGGGGCGGCGGCCTCATGACGTCACTCGGCTGGGTGACGTGGTCAGCGGCGTGAAGGAACTCGGACGCTCTGGACTGGGGTCAGGAGCTGGATGCTCTAATGGCGGCCGGAAGTCAGGAAGTTTGATGGTTTTCCTGGGTTTCCGGGTTTGTTCAGGTTTGTTGGTTCTTCAGAAGGAACTGAGCAGAACTCAGTTTGTTGTTTGCTCTCAGTTTTATGAGAAATCAAAGTCTGTGACGTTCAACAGTGAACGACGGCCCGTAGATCATAGAAAAGGAAGAGAAATTTCCGCAAAAAACTCAAAAATGTTCAGGTTAATTTTAGAAACTTCTAGAAAAAACATGAAGATTTCTGAGTTTTAAAAGTCCAACAATTTGCTTGAAAAAATCTGAAATTTTTAGATTAATCTTCAGATCTTTGAGGAAAAAATCCTGGGAATTCTTGAGTTTAAGTCGCAAATTTGCAAAAAAAAAATAAAAAAACCCAAACAAACAGAAGTTTAATCTCAGAAGTTTTCTAGAAAAAAAACATGGAAATTTCTGAGTTCAAAAGTTGAAAAGTTGAACATTTTCCTCTTTTGAAATTTCAGATTTTTGGCTGAAATTGAACATTTTTTTCTGTCTCCAAAGGCGCTAATATGCTGCTGCGTTCTGGTCTCTATTTTACGACCTTCACATCGTGGTCAGATGAACAAATAAGGTTTTACGTCTTGAATATTTTAGTCATGTTTTAATTTTTAGTTACATCTAAAATTTGTTTCATTTTATTTGATGTTTCTTTCTTCTGGTTTCTTTAAACAAGAAACTTTCAGCTCCGCTAACTGAATATTTGTTTGTGATTATAAAACTGAAATCAAAATGTTTGGCTCCTTCATCATGGAGAATGTTTGCTTTTTTAAACATTTTGTTATTTATTAAGTCAGATGCATGTAATTTTGACATTTTTAAGCTACTACTGGTTATTGTTTTGCAATATATGTCATTGGCTTAAAAGAATAAATCTGCCAATATCACTGAATAAAACTTTGATGCCATTAAAATGAATTATTTTATCACTATTTATTTATTTAATTTTTCTATTTATTTATAATTGTCTTCCCCTTATGTTTCTAAATTTAATTCAGTATTTTCCTTTTTTATTCATTTAATTTTGGTCTCCAGAAATTTCATTTGCACAGTTTTACTCATATTTCTGTATGGAATACCAAAAGTGTCAAAGTGTAATAAATGTTTAGTTTTAGATTTTATATGTTCATTTCTTTATTAAACAAGTGCATCCATAATTTTTTAACTGTCAATCAAAAAGTATTTCATTCTATGTTAACATTAAAATGATTTTAGTATTTGCACTATGACATGATTAATCTCTAAAGCAAAGTGTAGCATGTATTTAACTGGCCTTTGAAGAAGCAAATAAGTAGCAATAAGTCTCAAAATTTGGTTTACAAATATTTTTAAAAGAGATTCTGAAGAAATTTGACTAATTTATCCTACTTTTGTTCTTATAATCTAATAAAACTCATTAAAAGTGTTAAAACCAGAGATATGTTGTGAATTAATTTTCCATAAATGGAAATCAAACAGGAAAGTTCACAGCGGCCAGCAGAGGGCGCCAGAGTGCAGCCGAACAGACGGAACCCAGCGGAACCGAAAAGGAAAAACAATAAATGACCAGATTTATGAAAATAAAAGCAGAACTTATATTTACTGGAATAACCGCAGATCTGGATTGTCAGAAAAGAAGACAGAAAAATATAAATTGTTCCCATTGGTGCGTTGATGTGGTGACGTTTTATATCTTTAATCAGAATTTACAGAGTAAGATATGACTGCAGACCATAGCAGATAGAAAACTACATTTCTGCCAAAAAAACAGACATTTTAAAAAGTTGAAAATTTTTGACTTCAAATGTTGTTTTTTTCTTGCTAATTTTTTGAATTTTGAAATTTATATTTGCACCTTTCCCTGGATACTCGACCCACTGAGTAACCAGACAGACACTCACCTGCAGGCTTTGTTAAAGTTTATAAATTCACTTTGTCTCTACTTTTTGTCATTTTTAGATATTAAATGATTGATAAGTTATAAATTATGCAGTGGTTGAGAAGCTTTTCTATAAAAACTTGACGAATACAATAAATATGTTTGAATGTGGAAGCCGATCAATCAAACAGACCACCCATGTACTAATTTATTTCTTTTTTTGTTTTTATTGCTTAATGTTCCAGCATTAACACAATTGCGAAGCTCTGATTTCCATTTCATTTTGTTGCCATGGTGATGGGTCCATTACCAGAAATCCTGCAGAGAAACAAAAGAGCCCTCACCTTTTTAAACCTTCATTGTGAAGGAATACTTGCATTAATTCAGCTGTTATTTAAACTGGACTGGTGGGAAAGACATGCAGTAAAGTAGAAGAGCAGCTCACTCCTCCTCAGGCTTCATTTATTCAAACAAAAAGGTAAAATTGAAACAGTTTTACACCAAATTTACTGGTATTTAAGCTTAAACCTATGATGGAGTGATAGGGCTACACTGAGAAATAAAACCTAAAATTACAATAATCAAGTTAGGTGGACCGGAGTTCATTTTTTGGTTTGATTAATTATTCACACCTCACCAAACTTTCCACACATACACACCGGTATTTGGTTAAAGTGGACTAAACATGGCGGGTGTGAACACACCTTCAGTTCTCCTGCTGAATATTTCACCTTAAAACCCAACAAATGGATTGTGCAACACATTTTTAAATAGTTGTTGATTTTAGTTCAAACCACAGCTGTTCTAACTTCCTGCAACCTCTAGCTGGACTGCAGACAGAATGGATTTACATTTAAATTGGCTTTAGGTGCCAATAGGGGGCGTTGCAGCTCAGTAACATCCCTTCATCCTTTGTGAACAGATTTAAATGAGTAGAAGTGACTGTGAAGTTTCTAATAAATTTGCTGTCATCTGTAATAATAATAATAATAATAATAATAATAATAATAATAATAATAATAATAATAATAATAATAATAATAATAATAATAATACATTAAATCTAATACTCTGGGATTGGGATAAACGGCAGAGATCTAAATGTATCTTTTATTTGAACCTGAACAGGTTGTCAGACTCTGAGTTCTGTCGGGTTTTTCTGATCTGTGTTGCAGGTCATTACAGATCCGACAGACTCCTACAGATTCTTAAATCAAATCCTGTTACCTGATTTGTCTTCCCATCGGAGCAAAATGCATTTCAAGGTGCTGCTTTGAAAATAACAAGTAATGTAGTTTTTGTGAAACCTTTTCTGTCTGTGTTCATGTTCTTCTCAGAGAAAAACTTTAAAGCATTTTGGTTATTATTCGTCATCTGTCTCACTTTGCACATGGTTTGTTTTGATTGAGATGAGCTGTTTATCATCATTAGTTTTAGATGAGAATATGTTTTATTCTTGGTTTTGTTACTGCTTCTGAAAAAACACACCCAACCACTTTTTGGCAATAATTTTATGTTTTTTGGTGTCTGGAAAACGAGCTGTTTCAAAAACTTCCAGAACGGAACAGTAGGCACTGCCTGTTACCATGGTGACAGGCACTGCCTGTCACCATGGTGTGGAAGTCTGCCTGTTGCCTAGCAACCCCTGTGGAAGTCTGCCTGTTGCCTAGCAACCCCTGTGGAAGTCTGCCTGTTGCCTAGCAACCCAAGCGAAACGCCACCATGTTCAGTCAGCTGGTAGCGCTGTACAATGGCTGCTGGCTCCCATAATCTTATAACTTTTTGCCACATGACATTTCGTCTAATATCTATTTTTGCAACATTACGACGTTTTTCTCACAACGGATCTCATAATATTTGTTGTGTAACTTTGTTCTTGTAACATTATATTAATCTCAAAATATTCTGAGTTTTTATTTGTGTTATTACACATTTATTGTAATATTTTTGACTATTTGTTATATGACTTTATTCTTGTAATTTATTTTTCTTTGCCTGGCACTAACAGAAGTTGTAACAAAAATAATTTATGTGTTTTTGTTTATTTTTTGACAGGCCTTTCTGGGCTTCCATAGGATTTTCCTGATTTATTTTGTTGCCCAGCAGCAGAATCCAGCTGTGAACTATATTCTGGATAATAAAACTTTTCCTCTGCCTTAAGGTCTAAAACATATTCTGAGATGTGTTTTTGAGAAATAAGGTTTTTCAAGTGAGGACATTTCACAAGTCAGAACGACTCAGGTGCAGAACTATTTAAATCTAAAGGAATAAATCGCAAAGAAAAGTCTAGTTGTCTCTCATCTTCTCTGTTTCTGCCTCGTCCTGCTGACGGAGCAAACATAAAGACATTCAGAGCTGAAAAGGTGTCCAGCATCTCCATTTATTGCCTCTCCAGCTCTGCCATTTATATCCTGCTCACAGGAAGTCATTCGTCCACTGAGCAAATTTAGCATCATGTAATGATGCATGAAACACCAGAAACAGCCGACTGCTGTCTGCTCACCAATCAGTCACCGTCTGAAGTATTCGGCTGCGACAGATGGAGGTTAGAGGAGACTCAGGCGGTGAGGTTATTCTTCATGTATCTAACAGAAAATGCTTCTGGATGTGAGGAGAATCACCAGTTTGGGCCGTTGCCAGTGGTTAAGGCGTTATAACAGGAAGTCAAATTTCTTTAGTCATGTTTGACATATAGCATTTTTATAGCAACTGATGGTAACAGTTACTTGATTGTGATGTGAATTTCCACTATGTGACTGGAGAACCCATAACACCTTTGAAAGCTGTTTGATTCAGTTAAGAGATTAAAAACTGGACGCTGCCTCACCTCGATTAGTTCTGGTTCTGGTTACAATGACGTCGTTTTTCCAGATAAACAACTCTGGAACAAAGTTGAGTTCACATATGTTGGTGTTTTGTTGAGGGTCCGTTTCTCCTCTCTGGTCCATTTCTGACGTCTTCTCTAACCTTCCTGCTGCAGGACTGCAGACTGCAGCAGGAGACATTTCTGCTTAATATTTAATAGCACTCAGTGTGCGTCCTCTGGTGTCCAATTTGCAGGTCTCAGCTGGGTTTCTATTCAGAACTCGTCTCATTTAATGTAACATCTATCAAAAAGCATCGCTGTTGGTGAACCAGAGCTGCTCTCAGTTCCTTCATAAGCTTCAAGTATTTTACAGTTTTCTCTCACAGAAATAAAAATCTGCTCTTGTGTGTTGTCAAAAACTTGCTACAC